GTTCTTTTTTTGTAGATATTTAGTGTCATACCCCTAAGTCTTAGCTACACCTTCAACGACATGGACTTCTAGATGCTCAACTCATTATAAGACGCTGCCAGCCGATGCCAAGGGCACATAGGGCATATGATGCCATAGTTTCTAACGATGGTTCGTGGTGTTTCTTGGTCACCACACTAGACCGAAACAACCTAAACCCGAATGAAGTCAGTGCCTGCTTTGAGGGAGTGTGTGAGTCGGAAGCCAAAATCTTGCTACTGGTACCAAGGTAGTGTGTGGGACCCTTTCGACCGTCACAAGGTCGAGGCTCTCCGTGATGAAATTTGTGGGCCAAAGGTTCAAGGGTGCAGTAGAAATGGGGATTTCGGGTTACTCGGGCTTTAGGGTTTGTGGTGTCCGGCTGTTGGCTGTGGGAGAGAGTCCAGTTTGAGAGAGACATGTGGTAGAACAGTACCGGGTGTTCCTTACTGATGCTTGCGCCTTGTGCCACATCATGTTCTACCTTGTGCATTATGTCGGTTCCGGGTGTCCGTTACAACTGGCATTCTCCATACATTCGTCGTTGTGGCACAATCGGCTGAGTCTGGTGGAATGCCGTTTCTAGCCACGCCCACTGCTGTCGACCCAAACCAACGCAATGCGGTTTCCGTGTTAGGGTGGGAGGGGCTGGGGTGCTCTAATCCTACACAGTCGCCGTTGCCCAACTGACGACCCTACACAGATTCTTTGAGGAGCTCATCCATGTACTCTTTGAGCCCGGTGAACACCAAATCATGCAAGTCACAAGAACTCAAAAGCTGGTTCAAGACGTATTATTTAGCAAGTGGCCCCCCGGTTTGGCAACTGGTTAGGCATCCAAGCCGACATCCTCAAAGCTAGCTGGGCATAGGCCCTCCGACTCTAAAGTGAAGTCTCAGACCACACCGCCAAGACCGCAAACCATGCGCCATCAGACGAAGATGTCCAGTTCCAGCCATGTGCAGTGATGTCGTCATGGTGCATCAGAAAAGTTCTGCACACTCGCACACCAAACCCAAAAACCCCGAAGCCGGAAAAACCTTGCGTAGACCCGTTTCTGGGCATCAGCAGAGGTGTTTTTTTCCGTAGCAACATCGGGTCGCCGGTAGTGCCGGTATGCACTTCTACTGGGTCTTAGGGTTTCCTGCCTAAAGCTGAACGGACAAAGGGCTCTTGCCATGAAGATTGGGACACCTCGACCCGAGCACCCTGATCTTAAAATCCTACAGAGCCCTATAGGACCTGAAACCCTTACAAAACCCTAGAGAACCCTTACACACAGAGTGTAGAACACCCTGTAAAACCCTACAAAGCCTCTTTTTTTGTTTCAAACCCGTGATGCTCAAACCCTGCTGAAGGACCCAGAGTTGAACACCGCCCTGACTGCAGAGGCAGGCATCCTTTCATATCTAGCGCTTAGGGGTTTATAGGGCTTATTAGGGTGGAGTGCCAGCTGCAAGAAGGGTTTGGGGGTTCGGAGTTTGGGTTTCTTCGGGCGAGGGTTTGATGGTTTAGGGCTTGGAGTTTGGGGTTTAGGGTTTAGGGTTTCGTATACTTTTAAAGTGCAGTACCTCGCGGTTTAATAGATACGGCTTCTTCGAAAAGCTTGGGGGCTAGGCTTGATAGCCCTAAGCTTGAAGACCCTACAACCCTCTTTGCAGAACAGGTATGAACTACACCCCCAAACCCTGTCCTCTTTGTGAAGCCCCCTAGATACACCCAATAATAACCCTTAGAGTAATGTTGATAGGAACCTTTTAACGGAGCCCTATTCTAATGAAGAAGGGATTCTCGTTTGGGGTTTCAGGGAACGAGAGGCAAAGACCCCGGGGACGCGGAGCTCGAGGGCCATGTAGAGGATCAGGGGACTTCGTAAGTAGGGCTATCAGCTTTCCGGTTGCGGGGCTTGGGATATAGGGTTTTGGAGTTTTGGATTTAGGGTCTTGGGGTTTTCGATATTTAGTAAGTCATATGTTCCTTAGTTGAAAGTATTGGTGCTGGGGCTTCTTCTCGCTTCATTGATCAACTGACACATCAAGCAGGTGGGTTCTTCAGCTGCACAGTGCCTGAATTCAAGACCTTCTGGACAGGCCTCTTTTCGATTCGGGCTCTCTTCTACCTCGATACAACGGGGCTGTTTCCAGCAAGTTTTCAATTGAAATCAAACGCCAATAGCTTCTACGTACTGGTAGGTGTTAAGAGGCTGTTTCCAGTAAGTGTTCAATGGATTTCAAAAGCCAATACTGCAGCTTCCACCTACTGGTAGGTATCAAGAGGCTATTTCTAGTAAGGGTTCAATTAGTTTCAAGGGCCAGCCTAGCTAGCTGCAATCCTTCAAGACGGACGCAAGCGAGACCTTGCATTTCACAAGCTTTCCGTAGGTTGTGGCTCTGGATGCATACCGACGTCATAAATTTGAGCACGAAGCCATCAAACCCCAAGCCTTCCGGGACCCCAAAACCCTAAACCCTCTTCGGGGATCATCCGATAAAATTGGAACGATACAGAGAAGATTAGCATGGCCCCTGCGCAAGGATGACACGCACAAATCGAGAAGTGTACCGAGCGTAAACCCAAAATCCCAAAGCGGCAAGAGGACCAAGAGCCAGCTGTTCCCCCAGTTCTCATTGAGCGCCTGCGGACCGCACGTGCCTCGTCATGCAAGGGTGGCTTCAACTTATCCGCAGTCGAGCGTCCGGCAGCAAAGGAAAGGACACCCCAAGCCCGAAACCCTAAAGCCTAACCGTAGCCATTTTGGCTCAAGAGTTGCTCAAGCGAACAGTGCATCAGTCGTACCTGTCCCTGCACAGCATGTTCAGCAAGGCTATCAACCCGACTGCATTCGTGGGCCGGTACGAGAAGCTGGCTGGACGATCAGCCGTGTCCGAGAGGTCAGGCGAGAGGTCAAGCCTGGATTTGACTGAAGACATTATCGCCTTCTTTTGCAAGGACGAGAAAAATGTGGAGATCGCCGATGTGTTCAACCCGGCTAATTACACCTTTCTGTCTCCAGAGAACATCATGAAGTCGATTCTGGAACTCTTGGCTATTAACTGGGAGCAGCTGGGGAACATGCCTTTTGCAGACGCCATTACGGTCTGCTGCATGGTCTTCTCAGGGCTGGCCACCGGATTCCTAGATCATTCGCAGTTCGGTCATGTCTTCCCATCTCCACCAAGGAGTGCATACAAAGGTGTAGCCGAGCAATACTACAAGCACTTAAAGGCCCAGCTTGCGTCAGACGAGACAATCGACTCGGAGGAAGGACTCATGACCATTCTGACCGACACCCTCACCGATTTTGCGATTGATCGAGAGCACTACATCTCCACTTATGTCTTCAAAGCTTTGAGCCCTCAGGAGGCAACACGCGTCAGGGAAGCATGGGCCAATGGGACAGAACTCACAGAGGAAGTGGCAGAGAAGTTGAACATGGTCCCCACCCCAGAGCAGACAGCCCATGCCCACGCAAGCATTATGGAACAAGTGATGAGGACACTCGAACTATGCCACGGAGGGTCCATTATGCTCGGCCTTGCCATCATCTCGGGCGCAGGGACTGACAACCTGTTGAACGATCAGGGCTCTTCAAAGGGCAGAGGCAAGCGATCCAAAGGATCGTCATCAAGAGACAGCGCAAGTAGCATTGATGACAACTCGAAGATATTGTTGCAGTTCAAAGTCGAGTCGACTGAAGCCCGCAAGCTTATTGCAAGACTTGCAACAGCGGCTCCAACTTTCACTAGGGCGCGTGCCGGAGCATTCCTATACCAGGTGCTCACTGCCTCTTGCACTCTGTTAAAGTCTGATGCTGGCACTGATTGTTGGTTTCTCCCAGAGATCGACCTCGACGGGGACTTGACGTCGCTTACAAGGGCATTGGTAATGCTGGGGATGCCTGCGAACGGGTATAGCATCAACTCTGACCGTTACTTGGTACCCATCTCAACTGGTACCGCTGACCTTGTAGAGCCCAGACTACTTAAGGTCGTGCAAGTTGAGGCCTACCAGGGTGTGCGCATCGAACTTCAGGGGGCGCTTCGTTTCTCCAAGAGGATTGTCCTGATCGCAGAAGGACTCAAGCGCGCCTCTATGCAAGGCGTCCTCTCAGTGATTGACGCCAGTTTACTTCGCGCAGCGGCAACCGGGATCAATGCATACCACCAGGCCCCGGCTGCATTCACAGAGTTGCCACGGTTGCTTGCCGGGGCTCCCATGCGCCCACCCCCGATGACCCCAGAGCAGATGAATTCGGTTGCGTCTACCTTGTTGTCCGTGGATCTGTGGATGGGGATACCTTCCCCCATCTCTTCATCTCTCGTCTTCGGCAACGTTACCTCGAACAAGAGGGTCACCTCTGCCTTGATGAAAATGGCGCGCCCCTCCGACAAAAAGCAGAAGTATTTCACAGAGACGTCTTTTGACTCACTCATGGAGGACGCATCACGTGCCATCAATTCCATGGAGAAGGATCAGGCCAAGCAAGCATCGATGGAAGAGGAAGTGATTGCATCGTCCGCAATGAAACGTATCTCGGCAACTGCTTCTGCACTGGGCATTGCAGCGAGAGAGCCTGCGGACATCATGAAGGTCGTCAAAATGCTGAGTGTCATGCAGCGGGCAACAGCAGGGCTTGACGCACTCTCAAGGAAGAGAGCACGCAGCCCCGACTTTGAAGATGAGCTTGACGACCTTTTGTAAAGCTACAGTACCATGCAATGGCTCAGGCACTATAGGCGCAGTGTTTGACATAAATAGCTTGATCACGAACTAAGAGCAAGGTGCCATTTTGACTCTGGCTCCGGGTCGGTAAGACTAGGAACAGAGTGTGCAGAGCCAATGCTCAGTCTCGAACTCATTCCACTGACACGTAACTGGGTATTCAGGAATAGTAGCCAAGGCCTCACGACGAAGGAGGTGATGTCCTGGAGGTTCCACTGCTCACCCGCCCGGAAGGCGTTGGGCCTCTGGGAGATGAGCCCATGGAAGGCATCGGGAAGGGGTCGGGGGGGAAGAACAAGGTGGGTACTGGAGAAACGGAGCTGGACTCACCTCAACGCCTCGGCCTGGTGCCTGCGGATGTGAGAGGGAGAGGCAGACAAAGAGAGACATCATCGAGACAGACCAAAAATAACGACGCAGCAGCCCTGCAGTACCTCGCTACTGCAACAGATGCGGCACATGCTCTCTCGGCAGCCTTAGGGCCTCCCCTGGAACCACGTATTGCTGCCAACGGCACTATTCCAGATCAAGGTAGCCTTGACAGTGTCAGGAATCTCCCCAGACATGAATCCCCGGAAAAGAAAGCCAGGACCAGTAAGATGCCCGCGGCCCCCTGCTTTGGCAGCGGGAGTGCACCGAGTGCCTACCCGCCACTGTTTCATGGAGTGCAAGCATCTGCCCTGCCAGGACCTGCCACGCCGGGGGTCCCCCACCCCGTCGTTGCGCTTCCCCCTGCGAGGACAGAGCCGGAACACTTTGATCTTGACGAACCAGGCTGGCTAGGAGGGTTGAAACAGCAACTTCAGGAGTTGGTTCAGACTCAACATAACATGGCCACGCAGCTCCGAAGCCTACAGGACATCCAGACCGAGATACGCACACTAAGTCATGGACAGTCAGACCTGAATAGACGTGCGGATGAACACGAATTCAGCCTCAAGCAGATGCATGGAGAGCTCAAGGAACTGGAGCGAGAGCTGACGGCCCTAAAGTCCGCCCCCCCCACACGGAGCGTCAGCCCTGCACCTTCTGTCAGGGGAACGCCTAGGTCCGAAATGCTTAGTGATCGCGAGGTGGACGAACTTCAGATAGTCATCGGAGGCTGGAATGAATGCCGTCGCGAGGACATTGAGTCCGAAGTGAGAAACATTTTCCATGCCATGAATGCAGATGCCCTGGTTAAGCAGGTGTACGTGCCATATGTTAGGTGTGGCTACTGTAGAGTAGAACTGCTGTACCCAGAACCCAACATCTGGGCACAGCGGAAACTTCAAGGGATTGTTGTGCAAGCCATCAAAGATCTGCAGTATGTTTCCACCATCTCGGGCCAACAGCACTGCAAGTTCTGGGCAGCCAGGAACAGGTCCCTTCAAGAAAGGGCGAAGGTCAGAGCGATACTTAGCACACAAGAGCTATGCATTAAACATGTTGGCCCCGCCATAGTGGACAAGGATTGGCGAGGAAAGGTTTGGGTCTCCAACACCCAAGTCCTGCATCACGTCGACACCAAGGCGAGACAAGGAGAGTGCCTCATGCTTATAGACGCCAGGGGGAATGAGACAGGATGGTTTTTAGACCTTCAGCAAATACAGGCCGGTTTGGGGATCAATAAGGAAGCTGTGCTTTCGCACTTCGCCATGAACTAGGGGTTAGGGGGGGAAAGCCAACAAAGCCATGACACCAGGAATTCATCGTGCACGTGCATGCAACCCACAGCCTCCACCCAAGGTAGACGGTTTGTGCCCAAGGTTTCCCCTCGTCAGGTCATCAACATGGTGCCTCTCGAAATTGCTGGTCTCACATGGAACTTACATGGCAAAGGGATACAACATGTGTCTACCCTCATGCAAGGACTTGAGGCGCCGCCGGACATTTTCTTCTTGCAGGAAAAGGGAGATGTGCGTGGGGTTGCAGAGGGAGCTTCTCGTCAGGACACATCCTTTGTGGCAGGACGGGAATACCAGGTCTTCCTGGCGAACCCACATTATAGTCACAGATGCTGTGCAGTTTTGATAGCGCTGGATTTGGAATTCATGAACCCGCATGTGCATGTGCATGAATTTGGTGTTTTTGTTAAGGGACGCATGAATGCATGTGCATGGTGTTTTGCAAGCCTCCATTTTCCGCACCAACAACGCAGTGACGCGCCTGACACCTGGGAGAAGGGTATCAGCACGCTGTTGGGATGGTTAACGGGAGAGTCCTGGGATACGAACATTTTGATTGGGCATGACTTGAACCAGGACCTGCATGCTGAATTCGACGAATTTGCCGGCATGTTGCACTACAGGGAATTTGTTTTTCAGATGGGCCTTCAGACTAGCCCCCCCTTGGGGGATACCTGGATAGCCAGGGGCAGCTCGTCAGCAATAGATTTTTACCTTCACCAGATCCGAGGTGCAGAGCTGCGTTTCGTTAAGAGGGAAGATCTGCGAATAAGTCTCCCGTCGGATCACAATGCCATCCAGGTGCATTGCTCTTTTCGAGGCAAGAGGACAGCCGCGCGACAGATCCGACCCCCCAGGACCTTATGTGGTAAGTGGATTGTTGATGGCAGCAGGCTCTGGGAAGAGCTGATGGAACAAGATGTGTGGGACAATGACTGCATCAATCAAGCATTCCGGGAGCCCCAGGTCAGTAAACGCCCAGCGCCACTACGATATGTTGACCCTCCGCAAATCAAGGCCCTCATTGAGCGTCGCAAGGCAGCGCAGGACTCATGGTTGAAGTGTGCCCTTATGCAGGAAATCCATCAATTGAGGATTGATGCGAAAGTGGCCCACAAAGAAAACCTCCTGCAAGAGGCTCGGCAGGGGAACTATAGGGCAATCGCCCACATGAGAGCCAGTGCTAGTGGGGGTCAGACTGAGGGGTCGTATGTGCACAGGGCGGGGGGTAAGGCCCAGGCCGCCGAAATGCTGTTTTCCTTCTATGCAGATAAGTACTCAGCGCCCGCCGACCTGATTCCAAGCCCTCACCAAGTCCGCTGCCTCGAGGAAAGACATGGTGGCCAACAGGCGGTAGCTGTGACTACTGAGGAAATCCTTCTTGCTCTGCACAAATGTAAATCGGGCGTTAGTGCAGGGATGGACGGGGCAAACTATGAAGGACTCAAGTACATCATGGCGCAAGACAAGCAGGGCAGGATGGCCAAGTATTTTACGGAGCTAATTCAGCACCCTGAACACATTCCTGAAATGTGGAGGAGTGGCAAGATAGTGCTTCTGCCAAAAGTGGCACGTCCTGCCGAGCCCAAGGATTTACGACCTATATGTTTGACGCCAGTTCTCTGCCGACTGTTTGCTAAGGTCCTCATGAAGCGTGTACATAGGACAGCACCGGATCACTCAGGCCACCAAATTGGATGCAGACGGGGAGTCCAGACCATGGACGGTGTTCTAGCCTCGCAGTCAGCCATGCAGTTACTGAAGCAATCCAGAGGAGCCGCGTACATAGCCAAAATAGACATTAAGGCAGCGTTTGACAGCCTTTCCAGGACATCGGTTTTGAAATGGCTTAGTGACTGCCCGCCGTCAGCAGAGTGTCTGGCTTTGTATCGACTGCTGGATGACACGCGCGTTCAGCTCAGCATGGCAGGAGAGTCTAGGACAATTCAGCTTCAGAGGGGGCTGATGCAAGGTACTTCGTATTCAGCTGATGTCTTCTCCAGGGTCATGGACTACTTCCTTGCACCACTGCATGACCGATTCAATGATGAGGACCCTACATGGAATTCGCCTGACTTAGGCCTTCCGCATTTCATCATATACGCCGACGATGTTATACTGTTTGCAGACTCGCCACAGTCGCTCCAGCATAAGCTTCAGTCGATGATTGATGTGTTGAAGACTATAGGCCTGGTCGCTAACCCCTCCAAGAGTAGGGTCATGGCGCTGCATGACGGAGCTCACCCTGGCATCTGGCTTAGAGGCAGGGTGGAACCCCTGCAAGTGGAAGCCTCCCTTCAGTTCCTGGGCATACCGTTGTCACACTCCCCGAACCCGCAGGGAGTCATGACGCATCTTATGCGTAGGACGAGCAATGCCTATTATGGCTTTAAGAAACTGATGGATTCGGGACGAGCCCCCGTCTCGACACGGCTGCTGATTTTCAGCACCTTCATAACGGCCAAGTGGGCCTGGGCGGCGCCTGCCATGATCCCAAACAAACTGGCCCTCCGCAAACTGGAAGGATCCAAAAACACATTTTTACTGAGCCTATTCCGGCTTCCGACAGATCCGCTCCTAACCTGGATAGAAAATACTATATCCAGGCGCCGTGCAATCAAGGTGATATGCAGACAGAATCGTGGCCCTGACTGGCGTGAGGTGTGGCTCACGCGCATCTGGTCCTATCTCGGCCATTTGGCGCGCACGCCCCACAGACAACCAATGAAGCGTATCCTCCTTGCTTGTACTAAGGATCGCATCAGTCCCTCAGATGTCAGGCCCTCGTGGGTGGCAGATCTCTTAATTAGAAGGGTTCAACGAATATACGATCATTGGGACTGGGCAAGTGAGTGGCCCTCGTGGGAACTGATGGCGAAAGACCGCACCCAGTGGAACAGCCATGCCCGCACTTGGGTACGACACTGGACGATGTCGGACACAGAGGGAGTGGCCACCTTTGAGTACCTGTATGATAGGCAGCTCATTCTGCTCAAAGGTAAGAAAACGCTGCTGGATTGTCTTTTCCGTCCTGCCAAGGATTTCACAGACACTCCGTATACCACTCCTTTGTGTGTGATTAAGCCAGCGAAGTTGGGTGGACCAGTGCTATGGGCTAAGGTCTGGCAAAACCAATGCATGGTCGTTTTTCAGGATGGCAGATCGCCAAGGCACACTTTTTGTGTGCAGACCAAGGCGGTGAATGATACCCAACTGGCGCAATCGGCAACAGCCCTCAGGCTGGCCTTCAAGGTACATGCCATACTTGAACATCATGGAGTGTTAGCTCGAGTTCTGATGCCGCAATCGTGCATACATCGCAGCGTGATGCATAATCAGGTGCCTCTTAGTCTCCTGTCTGAAACAACGGAAGCACTTAACTTGATGGACAGGCAGGGAGTTCAATGCCTGTGGCTTCCTCCAGACCCCAACAAAACACGGGACTCACCATGGGCATCCCAGATGAAATCCATCGAGTTTGTCCCGCAGCACACGAAATACCTTTTGCGTGATGAGACCTTTTCTGTTGCTTTCTTTTGTGAGGGAGCACAGCAGCTTTCAGATGCAGTGATGCGGTGTCTCCGGTAGGGGATGGCCTTACACCTCACCACTTCTTGCTCCACCCTCACTCTCCCTCTCTCCCTCTCTCCTTCTTCCACGTTGTGCCCTGCATGTTTGCATGTCTGTAATGCCTGCTTCCTTCTCTGTCATTTGGCATGGGGGTCGAGGTAGGAACTCAATGCTTGTGCTGCATGCAGGAATGAAAGGGGAAGGTCTTGAAAGGGGGGGGCGGCAGGGCGGACGATTAAATGGTGACTCCAAGGGTGTAAGTATGCATTCTGATGATGCCCTGCTCAGGCCAGGGATCAGAAGGGTAGCGAGTCCTAGCAAGACATGTCACCAGAGAGCATGGCTACTGACCTTTTGCAGCATGGCGAGCCAGGATACCCTGAGGTGCACCAAGTTGCGCAAGCACTGTTGCAGGACCATCAGGGACCCGTGACTTTTGGAGCTTATGTGCGAGTCAAGTCGGGAATTCGTTCTCAGACATACCAGTACCCGGAAACCTTTAAGCTTTTCACGGCGTTCCTTGCGGATGAGTTTGCTGGAGATGCCTTCTTGACAATCCAGATTCAAAGAGACGTCGAGAAAGCCCCGCATAAGGATCACAGGAACTCCAGTCATCCAACGCTGATCCTGAACCTCAGTCAAGGAGCCCCTGGGGGGACGTGGGTCGAGTCACCCCAAGGCACCATGGCCATGAGGTGTGCAGACGGGGCCATGCGCATGGGCCATGTCCTCACAGGACACCGATACCGCATCAGCGCTAGTCGGCTCTGGCATGCTACTGTCCCCAGCACTGAGGAACGAATACTGCTCCTAGGCTGGGTTCCTGCAGGTTGGCACAATCTTGAGGACACGGCCAGGGCCACCCTGGCATGCCTAGGCTTTGTCAAGCCGCCGAACTTGGAAGGACCCCCGACATCACTCACGCTTTGGCGTGGGTCCGCTGAGGTCCAACGAAGACTGGAGGATTTCGGCATTGTTCGACAGCCATGTTTACAGTGGAAGCACGGAGTTTTAAGGCAGGAACGGCATGTTGTGCACATCTGCCTCTCTTCGGATGACGAAAGCCCCACTGGAGAAGACGAGGACTCTGAGGACGTCGTTTGCATGACCGCATGATTGTACAGGCTCTTCGTTGACAGATCTCATTTTGCATGCCAGTGTATAGATGCGAACGTTGAATTTAATATGCTGTCCTGCATGACTTGGAATTTAAACGCATGTGCATGTACATTTTGCAAGTAAGTGTCCGTGCATGTTCCTTTTTGCTTCGACAGGGCCCCGCTTGTACATGCTGACGATGTTGATGCATGACATGTAGATGAGGCGTCAAGCAGCAACCCGGCCCATAGCTCCCGCGATGTATGTAATATACATGCTGGTTGATATAATCAATTCAGGACAACTGTGAAGCGTGGCAGCGTCAACCCTCGAAAGAACCAGCCTGGTGTCTTTGTGAGGGTACTTCTGTTGAGGCCCAACTATCCTATCTACACTATTTGACTGGGCTCACTGTGCCCGTGAGTGGGATAGCGTAACATGTCATGACAGGACTATGTTGGCGGCTTCCTCTGTCCTGGTAGGAACTGCGCCGGCCTTGTGAAGAGGCAAACTCTGTGAATGCAGCTCCTGTCATATCGAAAGTAGCAGCAACTTCTAGTTCGCCTAGCTTCTTCCTGCAGCATGGACTCCTCGACCCAGCAGGACATCTCACAGGCACGTGGGGTTGGAGGTGGCGCACAGCCGCAGCCCCACACAGGCCAGAAGCTGCAGATGCTCTACATGACCCTCAGCGAAGTTTGGTACAGTATGTCTTGGTCCGACGTGCCAGCAGGAGTGCAGTACACAATGTACGGGCTTGGATTGCTCACGGTGATCTTCGTGGCTCGCAAGTTCATCCAGAAAGCTGCAAGCATGGTGCATGGAACTTTGCAAGTGATGCATGGAATTCTGCAAGCAACGGGCATGGTGCATGGAATTCGTCAAGCAAGCGACCTGCGTGGAATTCAAGGTGCCCCGGGAATTCAAGACATCATTAAGATGCTGGAAAAGATGCAGCAAACTCTGGATGGACAAGGCCAAGGTGTGGAATCACTGACGCAGTCGGTGAGCCTCCTCTCGGGTGCCCCGAGTGGGGAGGGACTCTGGGAGAAGCTTTCAGAAAAGTTCGACGCCATCGTGGTATCCTTCCAGGAGACCAACCAGAAGATCACACGTCGTTTCCAGGTAGTGGATGCAGCATGCGAAAAGCTCCAGGAACTGCTACACCAAACCACGGACATGCTGGGGAAGATGACGAAGACGGTGGACACACTGTCAACTCAATCGTCGATGGAAATAGTGGCTCAAGCAATCGAGAAGATCACGGCGCAGCTGGAAAAGGTGGGGCCACAGCTGGATCAGTGCCTGCAGAAAATCGCAGCAGCAAGCAATGCGGAAAAAGGCAGATTCACAATGTTGGACGGGGCGATCAAGAGCAAGATCGACCAGGTCCATGGTGAAGTGGTGGCCAAGCTGGGGAGTGTGGAGACTACACACTCCAAACTCCAAGGCTTTTTGCCACAATTGCAATCTGCAATTGGCAAACTTGACAATTTGCCAGACAAGTTGGACCGGACGGAGTCGCTCTTCAGAGAGCGAGTACAAGGTCTACAGGACGACATGGGGAAGCTGCAGGGATCGCAAAACGCAGCCGCACGTGAAGAAGCCCAGCTCCTCAGGAGCCACACCAAAGCAGTGGAGGGGATGCAACAGTCGATTGCGGCTGTGCAATCGGCCCTTGGACAGCCACCGGTGGACAGCCAAGGGGTCACGGCAGTTCGCGAGCTTGTCACCAACACGGACAATGCAGTTCAGGAGATGACGACGATGCTACAGGAACTGGCAGTGGCCCTCACGGAGCTCAAGGACAAGATGCCAGAGCGTCCACCATACAGGCAGCCACCAGCCCAAGCCGCGACACCAAACCAAGAGGCTATGCCAATGCAGGCACAGCAGGGGCCAATGGGTGGAGCGATGCCTTCGGTCATTGACCTCAGCTCGAGGATCCCCCTCTCGCCACAGCAGATGGGAGGGGGACGTTTTCATGGCCCGGCGCCAGGAGGAGTGGCAGTTACTTTCCCTTCGGGGCGTACGATGTATGCTGCTGAAGATGAGATTTTGGGCTACCCGGTGCAAGGGGGCCCGCCACAGCCGCACCTGCAAGCATACCGTCGGGGCTAGAGGACCTATGTAACAACGGGGCCAGATGGTGTAATAAGCCTACTTTGGTGACCTCCAGCTCCCATGATGCTTCAGTGCAAGGCTAACTAGCACAACATGCATTGTGCATGAGCAGGCCACACGAATTTACAACGAATTCATAATAGCATGTTTGACACCACGTTGCATGTGCGTTTCAGCCACTGCATGCCATGTGTGAATTCACACAGCAGCATGCCACGAGGAATTTGTTGAGATGCATGTATGCATGACATGAATAACTACTTTTGGTGTGGAGTCGGAGGGGTTGTTTTTTCTGATTACTCTACCCTTGCTGTGGTTACGGTTGGTTTTGGTTTGAGGTCATACCTGATGACTCCGCTTGCATGCATGTAAGATAGAAGTGGCCGCACAAGCTCATGCCATTGGGTCCCCATCGTACAGTCATTTGTCGGCGCGTTTTTTCAAACTCACACCAAAGGGGGCCCGAAAGCTGTATCAGTTCTGAGGACTGCCGTACTTGCGCGCTTTGTCAGTTGTCACAGCAAAAACAGTCCACCGAAGAGTGCGGAACCTGACCTAAAGCCCCAAGCTTTACCCCGCCTGAAGCCCCCCAAGCCTACCCCAAGCTGTTCAAAGCTCGTAGCAAGGGTTTGGTGAGTGCGAGTGTGTGTGTATTGTAGCCAGTTTCTGAGGCAAATGAACTTTCCATGCATGAGAGAGAGAGAAAGAGGAGAGTTGCGTGAGAAACGAATGCATGGGACTGTGAGTTCAGGCACCGCCTCAAACGCCGACAATGAACCCTCTCCAATGCCTCGGGGTCGCTTGCCTGCCCTGCTTGCTTTTGCTGGCACGGAGTGCAAATCCAGTAACTACACCCTCCCTATCCGCCCCCCCTAAAAAACCACTAACCCACGCCTGTGAAGCCATGGAAATACCTCACTGGAGATGCAAATTCAACAGTTAAGCACTTTGGAAGCAAATCTGGGGTCTGGAAGTGGTGATCTGGCAATGCTGCTAAGCATATGAGCTGGCCTATGGGTGTCAGGCAAGTGGTGTGACTTGGCAATGCGGTTGGGTATGTGGACTGGATTGCTGTATGCTACTGGGGTGCAGTTACTACTCTGTTGAACACGTGGGCTGGATTGCATACAAGCTACTGGTGCAGTGACAGCGCAGTCGAATACACGGGCTGGATTGTGGCGATGCCATGTGCCCATCCCTGAGCTGGATGGAGACGCTGTTGGTGCTCATGGTCAGAAGGACCTGGACTGGTATAAGCTGGTTACTACATGACAAGAGGGAGTAGGACTTCAAGATGAAGATGCAACACCAGCATGACAGAAGGGATATGATACGAGCGCTGTACCTGCGGCTGACCCTCATGGACACCACGGACACATAGAAATACGACCTGGCATTTAGTATTCACTGCATGATTTTGCAGTTGTGGCGTACGGTCATCTGAATGTGTCAACTCTGCAATTCAGTTGAAGGACAGCTGCATGGAATGAGATCATTTACAAAGAGCATGACGAATTCAATACAGCTGGTTGGAGAACAATGAATTTGTCTGCATTACAAACGACGAATTTATTTGCATGGCTGCATGGATGGTACGCCCATTGTGGGATGGAAATGGTGGAATTGAAACCTGCATGGAAACTTTGCAAGTATGGAATACCCTGAGTGCTGATCGACATTGAGTGACTTGAATCAGCGATGCAAGCTGAGTGAACTTACTTGAGGTAGATTGATTATTTTGAAACAGCAGTCTTAGACCGTCACGGTTTGTCGCAGTGAACGCGCTGCGCAGACAGGGAACATGCCAGGTAGGATTGAGGTGCCTTGCTTTCGTTAGATGATTTTGGTTCTGTCGGCACCTGGGCCACTGCCTGTCAAGTTCCGGTAGCAGTCTGGGACGCAACCTGCCATGCCTGCGTGTGCGAGTGTGTGAGTCGAAAGCCTAAACTGGTTACTCTTGCTCTGTGCTGTGGACTGTTTTTCCTGTGTCACGCCGACCTCGCACCATGAACCTCGCCTGGCTTGTCCGAGTTGTGAGAGCGTAAAGCCTAAACCGAGGTATGAATGAATGACTTCTTTGTGCTTCTCTGTGTAAACAAACGCTACGGAACCGTTCCTTCATGGCTCGAAGAGGCGGTGTCAGCTTGGAGGGCCATGCTCAGGGACTTCAGAGCGTATTGTATGAGGGCTTAGGGTTTATAAAGTGCGTAGGATTAGGGCTTCGGGTTTATGGATTAGGGCTTGAGGTTAGGGTTTAGGGTTTAAGCCTGTTGCAAAAAAAGTCTTCGCACTTTTGTGGTACAGGGTTTCAATCAGTTAGGATTGATCGGAGCTGGTCTTTGGCGGTTGTGAGTCAGGAAACCCAAAGCCAAAGCAACAGAGGACCATGTGGAAGACCGAGCCTTGTGCCCATTATATCGGAGCCTTCTTTGGAAACCTTGGTCCTTGATTGGGGCTCTTTGTGTGGATGCTACTTCTTTGGGGTTACAGGACCAGGCTTTCTGAATCAGGTTCCTACAGTATGATATTTTCAGAACGGGAGAGCCCTTCAATGGAACGTTGACTCATGGGATCCGTAGTGTGAGGTGCCCAGCAAGCCAAGCTGAGCCGATTGGACAGCTTTGTTTCCCCTTTTGGTTCCGATAAACTGACCCCTGCTGTTTTGGGGGTTTTGATATAGAGGCTTACGTAGCGAAGCCGCAGGCAGCTTGGAGGATACTACACGATGACTATATAGGGACTGTAAGGGGGCATTGTTTCTAATTTTGCGTCCGCAGGCGCAGGGAGACGCCGCTTCCGCTGCGATTGTCAGTCTCAGAGCCATGATGGGTGGATGTTTGGCGCATGGCTTCATGTTCGTTCGGCCTGTTACAGAGTCAGACAGAGGACGTCTT